AAGAGTGTCCCACAAGAGTGTCTTACAAGAGTGTCCCACAAGAGTGTCGTACAAGACTGTCCCACAACAGTGTCCCACTAGAGCGTCTCACAAGAGTGTCCCTTAAGAGTGTTCTACACGAGTATCCCAAGAGTGTCCTACAAGAGTGTCCCACAAGAGTGTCCCACAAGAGTGTCCTACAAGAGTGTCCCACAAGAGTGTCCCACAAGAGTGTCCAGAGAGTGTCCCACAAGAGTGTCCTACAAGAGTGTCCCACAAGAGTTTCCTACAAGAGTGACCCACAAGAGTGTCCTACAAGAGTGTGCCACAAGAGTGTCCCACAAGAGTGTCCTATAAGAGTGTCCCACAAGAGTTTCCTACAAGAGTGTCCCAAAAGAGTTTCCTACAAGAGTGTCCTACAAGAGTGTCCCCCAAGAGTGTCCTACAAGAGTGTCGTGCAAGAGTGTCCCACAAGAGTGTCCTGCAAGTGACCCACACAAGTGTTCTACAAGAGTGTCTCACAAGAGTGTCCTACAAGAGTGTCCCACAAGTGTGTCCCACAACAGTTTCCTAGAAGAGTGTCCCACAAGAGTTTCCTAAGAGTGTCCCACAAGAGTGTCCTGCAAGTGACCCACAAGAGTGTCCGACAAGAGTGTCTCGCAAGGGTCCCACAAGAGTGTCCCACAAGAGTGTCCCACAAGAGTGTCCCACAAGAGTGTCCTACAAGAGTGTTCCACAAGAGTGTCCCACAAGAGTGTCCTATAAGAGTGCCCCACAAGAGTGTCCTACAGTAGTATCCCACAAGAGTGTCCTGTAAGAGTGTCCCACAAGAGTGTCCTAGAAGAGTGTCCCACAAGAGTGTCCCACAAGAGTGTCCCTCAGAGTGTCCCACAAGAGTGTCCTACAAGAGTGTCGTACAGGAGTGTCCTACAAGAGTGTCCCACAAGAGTGTCCCAGAGTGTCCTTTAAGAGTGTCCCACAAGAGTGTCCCACAAGAGTTTCCGACAAGAGTGTCCTACAAGAGTGTCCTACAATGACAAGAGTGTCCTACAAGAGTGTCGTGTAAGAGTGTCCCACAAGAGTGTCCTGCAAGTGACCCACAAGAGTGTTCTACAAGAGTGTCTCACAAGAGTGTCCCACAAGAGTGTCCTACAAGAGTGTCCCACAAAAGTGTTCCCACAAGAGTGTCCCACAAGAGTGTCCGACAAGAGTGTCCTATAAGAGTGTCCCACAAGAGTGTCCTACAAGAGTGTCCCACAAGAGTTTCCTACAAGAGTGGCCCACAAGAGTGTCCTACAGAGTGTCCCGCAAGAGTGTCCTACAAGAGTGTCCTTTGGACATATTAGTTTTTCGATCATGTTTGCATTCGGGTTCGTGGGTTCCATCTTGTTTTTTTAAAAAAACTTGTCGTTGACAAGACATAGATAGGTTTTTCTTTTTCACCCCCACAAAAAATTAAGTGGGTATAAAGTTCAGTAGGTAGATATATGCCAGCACCTTCGAAGGGGTCACCGAATGGAAGCCCCTACACTACATAGGGGTCTCCATTGGACACCCCTTTGAAAAAATGGAGATCCCTAGGTAGGTCCAGGTATATATTATATATATATATGATATGACCCTTGAGACTGTTGATGACTGACCAAAAATGAAGGCCAAAATGACATCCAAAGAGAATCCATTGTACCAAAGATGGAAGGATATGATCGATATCACTTCAAAAGGGACATGATCTGAATCTTTTGACAAAAGAATCAAGATATCTACCTTCGAGGGTTATGACCTCACGTTCATCGATCAAGAAGCTATACAGTAGTTGGTCCTGGAAGGGCCCCCAGTGCCGCCAACTGATCGCTTTAGACAAGAAGCCTACTAGTAGCTAAGCATCTAGTAGCTAGAAGGCTTGAGTCCTTTTTTGGGGGGAGAAGCCAGCTTCGAAACACAGAGGAAAACACCAGCATTTTTTCGCCGCGGCGCAATGGCGCGGGAGACCCCTTCAGAGAGGGTTCAAGCATGAGGATCATTCGGTTCGGGAACTTGGCAAAACCGGCCTTCCTCGCGCGGGGTGGCTTGGGGTGGCTCAGCCGATATGAACCTGATGGAACCTGTGCATCGGCGGACCCCGCCATTCCTTCTTTGCTCGGATCAGGGCAGAGCCGGGGAGGGCGCAGCGGTGCTGGGTCGATCGATTCCATGAAACGAGCCAGAGGCTGCACCTCTAAGTTGTCTAAATCCTGCGTGAACAGATGCTTCTCTTAGTCTGCCAGGATTCAGACGCAAGCTGCTGTGTGTTTCCTGTCAGCTTTGACTTGGGACCATGTGGGACCCAAGCCTTGTCAAACCATGTGAGAATTCAGCAAAACCTCTCATCTGGTAAGTGGGCCTCACTCTGGATGCTTGTCATGAGCTTAAGCAGCACTAGTTACTTGCTCGGTTTCTCTGCGTTTTGCTAGGTCACTGTCTCGTTCCACGGCTGCCACCCAAATACCTTACAAAAGCCCTCCTGGACACTACAAAGCTACTACGGTCAGGGTCATCCAACGAAACCTTTAAATCTGTCGCAACGCAACAGGACTAGCAACACATGCCCAACATCCAAAACATGCAGTAGCCAGACCTTACGAAACGAAGTGATAGACGTACCTTACGCCGTACGCCGCAGGTGGTTCAAGCGCCGCCTGGCTGGCGCGTTCAAACCATGTTGTTGGTGTCACGGCCGTTGGCACATCCGGAGGAGACGAGATCATGGTCACGCCACTCGCCCCCTGCGCCCTGTGGTGCTCCAGGTGAAACACTTTGGTTTGCTCAGGGGGGCGCGGTTCGGAGCCGAGGGCACCCATATTCCCCATTAAGTTGAACAGGGAACCAAGGAGATACAGGAAGTTCCCCAACCCCTTGATAGGAAAGCACAGCTTTCGACTCCGCTCATCCTTCACCTTCTGGTTGGCTTTCTGGCGTGGCGCCACGCAGGGCAAAGCAGCAGTTAGATTGACGTGTTGGTGAGGTCATTGCAGGACCTGAAGAAATGCATGCTGACAGTGGAGCTTGTGCCCAATCTGCCACACAGCGGGCATGTCGTGCTTGTCGCGACGGGGATGTGCAACGAAGTGGAAGATATTCGGCCACCGCCGATAGCCAACTGCAGAGCCGAGGCAAACCTGATCATGTTCAACGTCTAGAAATTTGGAAACTTTACACACAGAAGCTTGGATTGCCAATCGCGATGGGGGACAAGGTCAATGCCCCAACTTGATAGAAACCTGCGAGTAAACCTGCGCATACCGGCGCCGCATTGTTTGTTTTGACACTGTGACACTGTGTTGTTCTGCCAATTTGGGCTGTTTATTCACCACCACTTCAACACTTGAAGCTAAGGCCTGTTTTGGAACAATGCCTGTACAATGCCTTTATTTTTTCGGCCCATGTTTTTGCAGACGGCATGTTTGTCAACTTGTAACTGAGGACAGGGGTCCCGTTGGCACTCGACATCGATTGGGAGAAGATCGCCATGAAATTTGCACTGACTGGTGGGTACATCAAGCTGCTCGTTTTGATTCAAGAGCGCGGGATGGGCGAACGGAATCACAACCCCCCAAAAATTTGTTTTACCAACCCACCACCAAGACCCGACAAACAGAAAAGTGTTACTGGTGAACCTTTCGCCAAACCAGTTGCATGAACCTTTGAATTTTCGATTTGCAGGCAAAATTCTAATGCCATGTCCGTGCGGGCGTTAGTTTGCCGGAAAACATGCAACATCATCACTTGGCTGTATTTTTCCCTCTGGATCCGAGGAATGCAATTGTGAGCGCTTTGCTCCTGGCCATCTCGCGTGTTTGGGCTATGAAAATGACGAGGGACAGGACTATTTTAATTGGACTCCGAATTTTTTGGGGTCACCGGCGGTCACCGGCTCATATGCTTGCAGGGGTCTTGGAGTTCGGTTTTGGGAGTAGTGTGCCAGCTTGTCCGGACCGAAACAAGTCACGGTGTGGTGCATGGGGTGTTTTGTTACCAGGAAACTGTTGGCTCTTCGACACGACCCAATATGAAGGGGGGCTAGAAAGGTGCAGCAAACCCCCAGGACCAGATTTCGTATTTTGTGGTTGTCCAATCTGTAGTTTTGCTAACTGACCATGACACATTTGACTCGCGTGTTCAAGCACTACACGCGGGCATTGCCCGGCATGCCCCCCAGTTCAATGCACCATCACACCGGGTTGCGTTCGATCTTCGACGCGGCGTTCGGGGGGGAAATCGGCAAGAATCAGATGGATTTTCATGCACCTTATGTTGATGGAGCTTCACTTCCAACAGGGGTTGCACTGGAACGCGGAACTATGTAAAAGTGCTTCTTTTGCTGGAGTCACTTACTCCAATTCTCCAACCAAACAGGACAGGTCATCGGATCGCGAAAAGAACCACGGTCACGACCTGCCTCCGGGGTGTTCTGGCTTGACGCCCGGGACGCGTCGCCCAGGAAACAACGTGGATCCGAAGGTGACCGAAGAGGATATCACGGGTGGCTGCATCATGCAGGCCTGAATGCACCTCGCGCGTCGACGTGTTCTTTCAGAAGTCCCCCTGATGTGCAACGTGCGGCAACACGAACCGTAGAAGGATTGAAACCAGTCACCAACAAACGACTCAACACCTGAGAACCTCCAATACATGATTTAATATACCAGGACCTTCCAAGAGGTGTTTATACATAAGCCTCTTAGAGCTTCAGGGGTGTCCAAAAGGCCTGGTCCACTGGTCGATTTCAATCCCGTTTGGGCTCGTACCTCCTCGGCACCCGGGCCCCGGTCGTCTCACCTGCGGCGAAACGAAGGTACGACTGGTACTTGGAGCCCTATAGGGATTTATGTTGTTTCCTTTGTTTTGGTGTTGCCAGGCAGAAATGGCAGAGGAAAAGTGCAGACATAGCCATTGCAGGAATGGATTTCACCATCGCCTCAGCGTGCCGGCGGCCGTGGCGCTCGGCTCGGGTGAGGTCCGTGGCTCCTTGCAGATGCAGAGCTTCGCCAAGCGTTTGGTGCCGCGGGCGGGGCTGGACTCCCTGGTCCTGGCGCCCAATCTGAAGCAGCGCCTTGGCAGGGTCGGTCGGTGGCTGACAGGCTCACAGATGTGGGATGGGGGGAGACATGGCGAGGCCTGAGATCGTCGCCGGAAGTGACAGGATGTGAGACTTGACCTGGAGAGCCCTGACAGGCGCAGGTATGGCAGATGTATACAACCCGATCTTGGGTAGTGTACTTTTCCAGATGCTCCAGGTATGCAAATTGTATGGCGTAAGTTATGGCAGTTATGGCCTACATATATAGTTGATGTAGGCCTGGGTGGAGTGATTCATTTCATTTCACGTCCTTTTCCAAAGCCCGGAGGAAGCTCCTGGAGATCGTGGCCTTCGAAAAAGCGCGGCCGCTGTTGCTGGAGAGTTGGGGTTTTGGAGACCCCGGCAGCTTGGCACAGCTGGGCAGCGGCCGAAGAGAGGCCGAAGTCATAAGGGTTTTTCCCAGACAGATCTGTTTGTGACCGACCCAGCTGAGAATTCCCAGCCGCGTTTTCTACACGAGCTATTTGAGATTTTGACCATCTTGACCACAAGAGTCGGGACTGGCGGATTTTTCTGCTCGATCCATGAGCAATGGCATAGATTTTCCAGTCCGGTGTGGGATGGAAAGTGGAACAGCCATGAAAGCTTCATCCGGTGGACCACCCAGCGATTGTCCCAGGCCCATGTCATCACCTTCCATGTCAGTCAGTTCGACCCAACCTGGGGTGAAGCACTGCTACCGGTCGGTTCACCTGTGTGGTGAAGCACTGCATCATCTCAAACAAGGGGGGGCCCAACTGGGACTGCGAACCTCCACTATGCGACTGCGGCGGACTAGACGCATCCCATGAAGAATCGCCAAGCTGTGGCCCTGTGGCATTCTACTTGTCCAAAGCTTGCAGGGCACATCTTCCTGAGTTTTACACTATCTCACTGATAGGGGTGCCCAGTACATCCACTCACTTAGGGACTAAAACCATCCTTTTGTGACTCCTGGTGGAACCATTTTCTGCACCAAACTCTTGACGCAAAATTCCATCGTTTGCCTTCGAAGCCTCCTGCACCCCTCCAACCTGCACGTTGGGGGTGGTTTGTTAGAACGTGGCTGGGCGCGCGTTCGGCAGCATGCCGATGGCCACCGTCCCTTGTAGAGAGGAAAACGGCGACTCCCTTTCCAGACTGGAAACACTCTGGACAAAATCGCTCCCTGCCAACCCACCAACTAGACAGCTGTCATATTTGCCTACATTGGGGTGGCTTGGGGGGGTCAATGTAGGCATTATATATATATATATTCCAAACATGGAGTGCCTATATAGACTAGACAGACTATAGATTCTAGATGGCGTTTTGTTTATTGCTCGGTTGATTCATAGAACAATCGGGTGGTAGTTCCCAAGGAAGCACCCATGGCTTTTTTCCTTGGGCGCTTTCCAAGGCGCAGTACGTCGTCCTTCCACAAACAAGTCAAGTGACGGCCACCATCCACCTCCTCTTCAAACAAATTGGGTCGACTTGTCGGAAGGAAAAGCATCACCTCCACCAAGGCGAGGCTGGCTCCGGCGGCTCCTCCACCCGCGAGATCGGCGCCCATCGCCCGGTGGTCACCGTGGCGCTCTTCTGGGGCGCTGCGGGTGACCTGACTGAGCGGAGGTGGTGCAAGGGCGAGTGGAGGCCGCATGAGGCCCCCAACAAAAGCATCCCAAATAAAAATTCAATAGGTTTAGCCTGGGATTCTTGAGAAAGACACACTGATTTTTGTTTGGATATGATGTACTAAAGTTGTACTACAACGTCGCCAGTTCTCAGCTTTCAGCTCTACAGATTGCTCCGCGTACTAAAGTTGCACTAGAAAGTCGCCAGTTGTACTAGAAAGTCGCCAGTTCTCAGCTTCCAGCTCTACAGATTGCTCCGCGTACTAAAGTAGTACTGCAAAGTCGCCAGTTCTCATCTTCCAGCTCCCCAGATACTCCGCGTACTAAAGTTGTACTACAGAGTCGCCAGTTCTCAGCTTCCAGCTCCACAGATTGCTCCGCGTACTAAAGTTGTACTACAAAGTCGCCAGTTCTCAGCTTCCAGCTCCCCAGATTGCTCCGCGTACTAAAGTTGTACTACAAAGTCGCCAGTTCTCAGCTTCCAGCTCCACACATTGCTCCGCGTACTAAAGTTGTACTAGAAAGTCGCCAGTTCTCATCTTCCAGCTCCCCAGATACTCCGCGTACTAAAGTTGTACTACAAAGTCGCCAGTTCTCAGCTTCCAGCTCCACAGATTGCTCTGCACACTAAAGTTGTACTACAAAGTCGCCAGTTCTCAGCTTCCAGCTCTACAGATTGCTCCGCGTACTAAAGTTGTACTAAAAAGTTGCCAGTTCTCAGCTTCCAGCTCTACAGAGTGCTGTGCCTGGCACGAAATCTGCGCATGGAGGTTGACAAATCAAAGTGCTGTGCCTGCCACGAAATCTGCACATGGAGGTTCACAAAGTGCTGCGCCTGCCACGAAATCTGCACATGGAGGTTCACAAAGTGCTGTGCCTGCCACGAAATCTGCACCTCGAGGTGCTGTGCCTGCCACGAAATCTGCACATGGAGGTTCACACAGTGCTGTGCCTGCCAAGAAATCTGCACATGGAGGTTCACACAGTGCTGTGCCTGCGACGAAATCTGCACATGGAGGTTCACAAAGCGCTGTGCCTGCCACGAAATCTGCACACGGAGGTTCACAAAGTGCTGCACCTGCCACGAAGTCTGCGCATGGAGGTTCACAAAGTGCTGCGCCTGCCACGAAATCTGCACTTCAAGAAACAACTGAAACCTCTAATCACAATGGAGGGACGATTCCGAGCATGATCCGAGAATGACCCGAGACCGTCTCGCACCCGTCGTTCCGCGGAGCTTCCCCGTCGAGGTTCGGAGAAGCATGGAGGTTCACAAAGTGCTGTGCCTGGCACGAAATCTACACATGGAGGTTCACAAAGTAATGCGCCTGCCACGAAATCTGCACACTGAGGTTCACAAAGTGCTGCACCTGCCACGAAGTCTGCACATGGAGGTTCACAAAGTGCTGCGCCTGCCACGAAATCTGCGCTTCAAGAAACAACTGAACATCTAATCACAATGGAGGGACGATTCCGAGCATGATCCGAGAATGATCTCGCACCCGTCGTTCCGCGGAGCTTCCCCGTCGAGGTTCGGAGAAGCATGGAGGTTCACAAAGTGCTGTGCCTGCCACGAAATCTACACATGGAGGTTCACAAAGTAATGCGCCTGCCACGAAATCTGCACATGGAGGTTCACAAAGTGCTGCGCCTGCCACGAACTCTGCACATGGAGGTTCACAAAGTGCTGTGCCAGTGGTGTATGATGAGTGGTGTATGATGAGTGGTGCATGATGAGTGGTGTATGATGAGTGGTGTATGATGAGTGGCGTATGATGAGTGGTGTATGATGAGTGGTGTATGATGAGTGGTGTATGATGAGTGGTGCATGATGAGTGGGGTATGATGAGTGGGGTATGATGAGTGGCGCATGATGAGTGGTGTATGATGAGTGGTGTATGATGAGTGGTGTATGATGAGTGGTGTATGATGAGTGATGTATGTTGAGTGATGTATGATGACTGGTGTATGATGACTGGTGTATGATGAGTGGTGTATGATTAGTTGTGTATTGATGAGTGGTGTATTGATGAGTGGTGTATTGATGAGTGGTGTATTGATGAGTGGTGTATGATGAGTGGTGTTTGATGAGTGGTGTATGATGAGTGGTGTATGATGAGTTTGGGCCCATCGTCAGCCATGAGCTTAATTAGTTGTCCAGCCACGCGGACGGACGTCCACGGTCCGGACCGATCTGGACCGTCCTGAGGCACAGGGAAATCCGCTGCTGCAGAGGCCATGGGCTTTGAGTTCGGCCGAGCGCCTGGGCGGCAACCTGAGCCCGAGCGGCCGACTGTGGAGATCGCAGCCCTCCATTTGCTAGAAATCCCCATGGGCAAGCAGTCCAAGGGCACAGCCTGCGAGAGGGTGTTGAGGCTTGGGTGACCGGTGCCCCTGTGGAATTGCCTTGATTTGGTGCGTTCGCAGTTGGGTGGTGGGCTTGCTAGCCACGGCTAGCCACTCGGGGGCCACAGCTGTGCGCATTGCAGTCCAAAAGTGGTGCCCACTTGGTGGGTGTAGAGGTCTTGGATCGAATAGAAGACCCAGCGACCTAGCGTGGTTCTCTCTGGAACTCATGGCGTTTTTCTTTGTGGGTCGCATCGTTTAGGCGTTTCTGAGCGTTTTCCATCTGATTGGCACTGGGGGTGCGGAGAAGACATGCATATTCCTTTCTTCGATTGAACATCATGGAAATCCTCTCTTGGATGATCCGCTGCGCTTCACTGCCCCAAGTCAGATCTGACAGATGTCTTCACCTACCTAGCACTTCCCTGTGTGGGTGACCCAGGTCCAGGATGACCTATTTACGTAGGGTAGGGTAGTCTAGCTAGGACACCCAGGTCCGGACTCTACCTATCGTTTTGCCTTCCCTCGTCCCGAGGCGCTGAAGGTCGTG